GTCCCCCCCTCTCCGAAACCCGACTACCCGGTAATCACACATTTGTTTCTCGCAGGGTGGTAATGTAAATGTAAACGTAAATCGACTGCGAAAATAGGTTTCGCTGAATGGTTATCATGTAAAGCTGGGTCCTTCTATGTTGAACTTCTTTTATCCTATAATCAGTGTATCCAAAGTATCCCGGTTTGTAAAGTGCACCGATGAGTTGACCGAAATCTATTCGGTCAGGAAAGAATCATATATTCACGAAACAATCATTAAATGAGCGAGCTGACCTCAGCTTTCCTACCAAAAGTCAGACGCGGCCTTCTACACCGTTCGACAGACGACAGGACTACAGTTACCCCTCCGGAGTAAGGTGGTAAAACCTCGGTTCCAATCGTGTGGGCTTACAACTAAACGACGTACCCTTGAACCTAGGGGGAGCGTCCACGCCCACGTCGCTCGACAAAAACGACTACGTCTCACTTCACGTACACGACCCACATGTCAAAATTGGTAGACCTACACCCTTCCCGGTCAGGTAAGCGTCCGTACCATGCGTGCATGGTCACAAACTATCACCTAAGATCGTCAATGGCCTTCGGCACTTCCCTCGCCTCCTCGCCAGCACCACACCCTGTAAAACTTCAATTCTTGTCGTGCTCGTCGACGTAAGACCTACTCGACGTCTCAGCCTACCTGTACGTCCACTGCGTCCTCCCTCAACGTCTCAGACCGCACTCTACTGCGCTCGACCTGGTCTTGACGCAGCGAAAGACCAGTCGACCTGCATGAGGACTACAACATTTCGCACATAGACACGTTCTCGCCCACACATCGTCGTTACAAACGTCACTTCCGTCAAACAAAGATCCTAGGGTGAGGTCTAAGGAACGTCAGACTCAGCCCCGTGGTGTCGAATTAGTGGACCGTACGGCAAAGTAAGCCCGATAAATGTTTTTTTTTGCCGGAGGCAAAGTCATTGCAGGCCCTGGTGGATAGAAATTCTGAGGCTATCGACACTGGGGGGTTTGTTAGTCTGTTGACGGTACCAAACAAAGCATGTGAGTTGTTTTTATTTTTGTTAATGATGTCAGAGAAGAACGATTGTCGTGCCTTTTTTATTTCCTGATTATAGAAACCGAGTTTCTCTTTATATATTTCCAAGTGAACCTGGAGGTTTGTTTTTCTCCACCTGCGTTCAGCTTTTCTGCACTCACTTTTTTGCTGTTCTCACAGTTTTCTCCATGGAGATTTGGTATCCATGACATTTGTTATTTTAGAATTAAAATGATCAACTAGCTCATTTACTGAGAAGATAGCATTGCATTTTCAGTTAAGTGACGTCTAGTGGTTACCTCTTTCTTAACAATTGTATGGACGGTGATAGAGCTCTCAAAGAAAACACAGGAATGGTCGGAGAGCGCAACATCAGTCACCACAAGCTTAGAGATGTTCAGACCCTTTGATACAATTAAGTCCAGAGTGTGCCCCTTATTGTGCGTCGGATCCTTCACATGCTGAGTCAGTCCATAGTTATCAAGAACACAAAACAGTTCTTTAGCCCCTCTGTCCTCAGGGTTGTCAACATGGAAATTAAAATCGCCAACAATGATTAAACGGTCAAAGTCAATACACACTATAGACAACAACTCCGTAAAATCATCAAAAAAACTTGCACAGTATTTGGGTGGTCTGTAGATGTTTAGGAAAAGAGCTCGAAAGGAGCCTTTCAACTGAAGGGCCACATATTCAAAATAAGCAAAGTTTCCATACATAGTCTGCTTGCATTGAAATAAATCAATACCTTTTCGGCCTCTTTGAGTTTGTCTTCTCCTCCTCTCTGCTTATATCTATCTGCACATCTAGTTTCATAGTAACACTTTGTTTATCTCGCCTTTCTCTGACTAGGCCTAAAACCCAAAACATGAACAGAGTCATTGGGCAAACTCCCGGAAAGCAGCAGGTTGAGAGTGTGACTATCCCACAGCCATCAACCTGATCAACCCCACATAGAAAGTGATTTAGCTTCTAAAAGAACCAAACAACCCGAAAACAGTTTGTGATACTCCCCCATAATACATTGTTTGAATTAAACACTTCTGAAATCCTAGTGTCTATTGGATCTTTACCCCAATGTGACCCCATTTCCCCAAATAAGCCCTCTAATATGTTTTATTTATTTAAAAAAGACTGACACCATGAAGAAAAGCATGGGAAGACATGAGCACTCTGGAAACTGCACTTTGGTTATTAGGGACTTCCGTACCAGCAAAGTTGTTTTTGCGTTGATGCAATTTCCGACAGTGAACCATACAAATTCAAACTCTTTAGTCACATATATCGGAGGGCGTTGTTTTTTTATGTTTTTGTTCTGAGAGTTGTTTTTCAGGCCTGGCTCAGCCTTTGACACAGAGAGCAGTTGAAGATGGTATGTGAGGTATGTCAACCTACCGGAACTTTGCATATACTCTTCCTCTGACACCACAGTCCTGTCTTATCACTTCTACATGCTGAATCACTGCAGCTGTCACATGTGATCAGTTGCCATGTCGTTTATTTTAATTGGGGGTATTAAAAACCACAGAGGATTGTCAAACACATGTTTAATTGCATATCTAATTTACCTTTTGATGCTATGGCCGATGTATTTCACTTAAAAGCCTGTGGTAGCTTCTGGCTTCAACCCAAACACTATTACTAATCGGGCTTTCTGTTTGGCACTGTTTTTCCTTTAAAAAGATGTCACATTCTTATATTTCGTCACCTCTCATATTAATTAAATACTGTATGTCTTATGTTGTTCTTGTTTTCTGTTTAATTAGTTTGATGTTGAAGCTTGTGTAAAGGACTTTGAACTGCCTTTATGTCTGAAATGTTGTGACTTAACTGACCTTAGTTGAAACAATTCTTAAAAAGCTATTTTCAAAGATGTTCTTCTAAGAAGCGGAACTTATCTTTATCTTCATTTTAAATAATATGTCTGTAAAATAGAACTACATGTTTTTACAGTTTGCTTTCTCCATTCATCAATCACATTTTTCGAAAGCTTGACACAATCTATAACCTTTAATTGCATGGTATCTTGATATTGATTATATATTTTTTTATAACAAATATAAAAAATAATATAAATTAGTTTTCTAAGGAAATATTGACCTTTAAATTATACATCATGGAGTTCCAATCAACTTTTCTCCAGGTTTTTATTTCTTGATGTCACAAATTAATGACACACCTTTATTCATTTCACAATTATTTGCAAACCGCATTCACAAGGTGCTATTAGTGGTGAATCATACGTGCTGTCTGTCATCCATACTGATGCAATGCAGACGATTCCTTGTAACTCAAATCTAAATGTTTTACTTGACCATTTTTGTAAATATAGTGTCACCAAAATAGTAGAGATTGATTTACTTAAATAGATTAAATCTGTTTAATGTTGTTTTTAAGGGTCTGAGTTATTAGTCCCAGCATCTTTATAGCAAGAAGGTCCTTGGCTCAAATCAAAACTGGATTTTTCCTCATGTTTTTGTAGGTTTTCCTCTTGGTGCTCAGGTTTCTTTCTGCAATTCAGCTCAAGAAGGCTACACATTATGGTACAACATTGTATGAGGACATTACCCTTAAATATTTGAATAAAGATGTGTAATTTGGGTTAAGGTGGAACAATGCAAAAAAATTAAACATTGTGACAACATGACAGAGTGTAATAGATCACCTGTCAATCAATCAAATTCAAATTCCTTTAAGCACATTTTACCCACTGATTTTTTCAAATGCACACATAAGAAAAGAACTATTAAAACCAACACAATTATATATATTTTTTCGAAATCTGTGGTAACATATTTACCAAGTTTATTTTGCATAATGTATAAGTCTGCGGTGTAATGTGTATGCCTAAGTGTGTTTTAAAAAATGCCCGTGATCACATATAAAGTGCCTTGTTTTGCCTAAATTGATACATACTGTAATCAACATTTTGAGCAATATATTGTTATTTTGTATGTTAAAGTGCTTGCTGTATTAACAGAAGAACTGCTGCAGCTCCTCGAGTATGTCATGATCTGTTAGTACCAAAATTCTCCACTAGATGGTTGTGTTGAGTTTCTCCAAACCATCTGACATGACTAAAGTCCCCCTGCATTTTACTAGGCTAAACCATGGGCTAAACCCTTTATATATACAGTCTATATGGGCTAAACTAACACCCCATATGTTGTAGTGAAAGGAGGCGTGTGGCGCAGTGGATAGAGCCTTGGTGGTGGGATCAAGGGATCACAGGTTCAAACCCCACTGCAGTCAGCATGTCGTTGTGTCCCTGGGCAAGACACTTCACCCCAAATTGCTCCTGTGGGGATTGTCCACAGTATTGAGTATGTAAATCGCTTTGGATAAAAGCGTCTAACAAGTAACATGTAATATAGTAACCTAGTAACCCATCTGCCAAGTATGCCATGTTTCCTAAACAAAATGAAAGGTTATTAGTTTTTGTTAGAAAATCAGACAAACAAAATAACATGAGTTCCATCTGACAGATGGAGCCATAAACACAACTCAAATGAAAACCAATATAAGAGCAAATGTATTATAAATGAATAGGTTAGAATGAATATGTTTATTTTTAGTAACATTTAAGCCCACTATGCTATCTATTCTTTTCATTGGGGCCTTTAAATTTGAAAAAACATGCAAATTACCTAACTTTTAGCTATATCCCATCTAAGTATACACACCCCCAGATTAAAAAAGCATAATACATTTTGTATTATTCACATAGACACGTAATCTACATTTGTGTAGACGGTTAAGTATCTACATTATTTACAATGTAATTTTGTTACCAATTTAGTTGTAGGCCTAATGATATTTTAGTAAAGCTTTATTCAATAGTTTGGGATAAACCGCCTAGTAAATGTAATCCCAGTAAACCCAAGCGGAAGTTGGACTTTCCTGGGCAGGAAATTGTCATCAGTGTTTTTGTTGCTAGTGGGTACTGTTGTGTTGTGAAAATGGCGACGCCTCGTCGCTCCTCTCAGCAGCAGCAGCCGAACTCCCCACTTTCCTCCCCGCCCCGCGGCTCCTCTCGCCCCGCCACCCCTCCTGGCTGTCCGGCTGCACCCACCGACAATGCCACCTCGCTTTCCCGCAGAGCCGCGTTGGACAACCAGGCTGACGGGGAGGCAGCCCCTTCATCTCCCACCGCCTCCCCAGCTCTGGCCCTCTCCGCCAGCAGCAGCAGCAGCAGCACTAGCAGCAGCGCTAGCTCCCCGACAACCACCGAGGGCAGCGGGTCCAGCCCCGGCTCTACGCCCGACTCGGGCAGCGGTGACGCGGCCAGCAGCAGCAGCGGCGGTGGTTCATACGGGGCTTTCAGGGACCTTTTTGAAGCTTGTCGTAACGGGGATGTGTCTAGGGTGAAGAAACTCGTGGATACACTGAATGTTAACGCAAAAGACATGGCAGGACGCAAATCTACACCCCTACATTTCGCTGCAGGTAAACACAATGGAAATCACTGTTTAGACAAACTGAAGTCTTACTCTTGACTGTTTGTGGAGTTGGGAGGATGCTTAGGGCGTGGGAGCGACCAGAAAGTAGCTAATACACTACTAGTTGTAGCCTATGTTTGACACAACAATTTTCAGCATGGCATCACTTAAAGATATGAAATGCATCAATAAATAAAAATAACATTTTAAGATTCTAAAACATTTATTGTAACACATGATAATTACCCTGTGTATTTATGTTGTCAAAAACGAATCCCCCATCTCTTTCTGTATTAAAAATTGGTAGGCTACCCCTATAATAAATACATTAATAGTGTTAAAGTAGCTTGGGCTTCTACATATAAATATTTCCAGCAGTGTAAAGACAGCATCCTTTATCTCAGTTATACTAGAATTGCCAATTATAAAGTTGAATAATTATTCAAAATCTATTGATTTGATTACAATTAGTTGGTTCATGGCATGGTTCATTTAAAAATCAATTCTGGATTGAGTACCTAAAGGTGCGGATTTCAGGGTCTAAAGGTGCTGGAGAAGTTAAGTTTTTAAAAAGGTCAACTGATTACATGAATGTAAACATGCAAAGGCATGATAATAGGTAACATATATTTGTGTGAAACTTGCACAAATAAACACACTTTTCTTTAACAAAAGATAACAATAATGTTACAGTTGATAAAAAAAAAAAGTCCTTTTGCTTATATCAATGAATAGGATTTCTCCAAAATGTAACAATTTCAAAAATAAATGACACACAATAACTCTATAAAACTGGTATTTTGTGTGATTATTCAACAAAAGCTTGAAACAACTTTTACTTGGTGTGTGGGATTACTGTCCATCCATAGAAATATCTTGATTCTTACATAAATCGATATTTTTTCCCCAGCCTTAACAAAAGGACAGGCGGTGCAACACACATTATGTTTGGGCAGAGCAATTTCACACCTGGAGATAAGGGCCCTGTAACTATTTTTGTTCCTGATTTAGAAAACTCACTTATCATTGGTAGAAGTAAGACTATTTGGAATGAAATGTACCAAATAATAAACCTTAAATCGTGTTGTTGGATAGCTCAGTAGTTACAGCTGGACACCCATAGAGTTGAACCTGTTAAGTAAGCAGGTTCAACTGCCGAGCTCACCGAACATTTCAGGCAATGTTATCCCCTCTATCTCCCCCTTCCAACTCTGCATCTCCGATAAAGGCCCAAAAACATATATTTAAAAAAAAAAAGGAAAAATAAATCAGGGAAGGGCTGAAATGTCAGTTTGTGTGTTCAACTTTACACCGGCACAGTCATTTGACAGGTGCTTCATGGGTTAAGAGAAGCAGGACCAAAAGAAAGGTATTCTACACTCTTGTTTTTGCCACAAGCAAGAAGACATAGAAAAGACTAAAGATAAAATATCATTTTTTTCAATTGAGTCTAAAAAGTACTTGTTTATGTTCCACGGCTATGAAACGTGCTCATCTTGACTTAAGCTTTTCAGCTCCAGGGTGGACTGTTTTAAATTCTTTCATCTGTGCAGGCAAAAAGATAAAAGCAGAATAACTCGCACAGCTGCTCCAGATCTCAGGCCTTCCTAATCCTCAGCAGCTTGAGCAGTGAGCAGAACTCTGGAGTCCCGTGGCACGTCTGTAGTGAAGACATAACAAGCTTCAGCTGAGAGCCGCTTTCCCAAACAGCTGCCACGTGGATGCCTTACATGACAAATAAACAAAATGTATAAAAAGGAAAAAAAGCCCAGAAGACAATTGAGAGTCTAGTATCAATTATTAACATGATACGGGAATACAATTGAAAACAGACACAGCAGTTTTTTGTTTCTGCTGTGTTGCTCCTAGATGACTGCTTCCAGTTTGAGGACATCTGGGATCCTCTCTTCTTGCAACGCTGCAGATTGGATTTAACCCTACATAAATAATTGATATGCAATATGAGTTTTTTCTGGGCAAGACGGATCAATTGCCTAACACCTACTTCCCTCTTCCCTATCTTTTCTTTCTCCTCTCTCCTCTCTCTGATCTTTTCTCAGGTTTTGGGCGGAGGGATGTGGTCGACCACCTGCTTCAGATGGGCGCCAATGTGCACGCTCGGGACGATGGGGGTCTGATCCCGCTTCACAACGCCTGCTCATTCGGCCATTCTGAGGTGAGACTTTACACAGAAATTTCAACAGTACTCCCCCCTTTATATCAGATGAAAATATGGAAAGAAAGCATCATCTGGCAAACCATTTTTTACTTTATTGTCATTACATAATGCAAGCAGAGTTTAACGACATTAAGAAGGTCTAACCAGATTGCAAATAGTCAGTTATATACACATCTATCAGCAGTCTGTACAAAATAAATGCACTATACAAATATACAAGTAAAGGTATATAGTAATTAAAATGCATAAATAAAAAATAAATACACCCAAATATTTTAGATATTACATCTTTTAAGGAACTTAGAAAGATAGTCTGTTTATAAATCATAATCATGGGAGAGAAAACCTTTTAGATTTGACTTTAAAGGGGACCTATCATGCAAACTGCACTTTTTGATGTCTTTTATACATGAATATGTCCTCGGTGTGTCAGGGAACTCACGCAGCGTCAGAAAATAAAACCCTTTCTTTTCCTCCGTACCCACATTTCTAAAAACGGGGCTACAACGGAGCTGATCCAGATTTGCATCCGATATGACGTAATATCAGAAATGTAGGCTGGCTTTACACCCACCATGGCCCAATCAGAAATGTTGCTATCGGAAACAATGCCCGACTGTTTTGGACGTAATATGGTCGGTGCATGTTTACGTTTGCATCGCTAACACTCAGAGCTAACCTGTAAAATAAAAAGGAACTCACCTTGTGGTGTAACCGGCAAGAGAGAAAGCCTTTGAGCTCCATACTGTTTCAGAAATAATCTTTGATAATCCATGATATGGCGTTTCATCACGGCAGTATTTAGTTTAGACCAGCGGTTTTCAAAGTGTGAGGCGCGCATCCCCTGGGGGGCGCCAGAGAGCTTCAGGGGAGGCGCA